TTCAGACGTCTTCTCCATAACCATATAGTGAAGTGTTAAAACAGATAGCATATATTTACATTTTAATGGCATAAAGATTTTCATGAAATGTTGTCAGTATTAAACATCCTGCAATGGATCTTAACTAGAACATTATGCGGCAGCTATTAAAGGGTAATGACAGTTGGACTTATGGTTACTTTTTTTTATTTATGCTTTCTGCATTATTCAGTTTGTAAAAATTCTGAACACGCATTCGGTTTTATAAATCAGAAAACCAGGCAGTTTTGTGTTGGGAGGGGGGGGCAGAACCTTTATAGCTCATGAGCTCAAGCTGCAGCCCTGTAGCCACCAGGTGGGTGAGGACCAGTGACCTCTTAAAAGACAACTTAGATTTAGTAGCCCTGGAGCTTTATAGTTTATAAAGAAAACCGTATTCACGTACGAAAACAAATCTTGAGATTTAATACATAGGAAAAATAAATGTAATAGAGCAAAATGAGAAAAATTTCAGAAATTGCTTTACCAGTTTCTTAGAATTAAGTATCATATGTAACTCTCCTATGCGATTAGAATTGCCTAATGTTACTTATACATAAGAGCATCAACAATGTCCTTTACTGACTGCCTGTCTATATTATAGCCAAGGGACGTTCTTTATTTCATTTAATTAATCATTCCCCCTCCCCTTTTATACTCTTTCCCACAGTTTTTGGAGAATCTCATAAAATGAACCTTTATTCCCAACTAGCAAAGTTCTTTTAAGTGATCTGCTTATATTTCTATGTCATATAAATTAATGAAAACCATAATACAGTAAATAATTATAATGAGATGAAACAAAACCTGGCTTCCTGACAGGTACCATTTAGTGGATTGCTATTTCAATGCCCTAAACAGTCACCTGAGTTAATCAATTTTCATTTTGTTTAATTTTTGTCTTTAAAATCACTCTTCGGAGAATGAGAAACTGGCTCACTGTTTCAACTTTATAGGATCATACAGTCTGAACATCCTCACTTATTTAATTTTGCCATTTAAAAAATATTCTAATATTATGGCCAAGAATCTAACTAGAGCTACATGCAGGTATTATGTTTATATTATTGCAAAAATAATTTAATATTTTATATTCTCAAATGAAGTTATTGTAAAATAAATATATAAATTAATAATATATTAATATAGCAAACTTATGTTATAATATAGGAATATTATGATGAAATACGTAGTACTGGTAGAACTGGGAAAGAAGTTACTAAGAGTACCAAAATAAAGGAAATTTATTTTTAAACATGTGTTTTAATCTGTGACTACCTTTCAAGTTTTATAAATTGTGAACATACGTTAACTTTTAGATAGGAGTTATGATCATTTTGCAAAGTTATTTGTCATAAACAGAGGACATAAAGTGTCGCTGCCCTCGCGCATGCACTCATTCGACTCATGGCGCAGTCTTCAATAATTTTAAACCAAACATGACTGAGGCAATCAATTTTCGTCCAATTTATTGGGCATGAGTTAAAGCCAATTAAAAAACCATTTTTGGTGCAATTCAAGGGGAAAGATGTATAAACCCATGAAAAACAGATTTCAGGCCTAGACATGAGTCATCACTATTCTAAATAATGGTGTCAGCCCTAAATCAGAAAGAACAAATCCTAAAATTGCACATTCCACATTGGAAACTGCATTTATCAGCAATGATTTTGTACAATAATAAATACTTCTTAATAAGAAATCGCCCTGGAATGAAAAGTATGATCTTCTAACATTGTCTCATATCTGAATATTTTTTAGCCATGAAATTAAAAGGTAGTTTATGGCAGCTCCTGAGTTTCTGAATTAAGAACTAAGTTAGAAAATCATCTGTGACCTTTATACAAAGAAAGCAAAACATTTTACCTATAATTTTAAAGTATCTTTTACCTATTAGACCGTGTCTCCTTTCACATGAATATAGTGGCTTTCTTTTAAGGCCATAAAATGAAACAATCCTTGATATGCCAGCTAATCCTAGGCTAATCAAAGCAGCAAAATGGAAGCTTCTTGGTTAGAAATTACAGCTATAAAATACAGGCATACATTTTCAATCTGTATTTTAAAAAGCCCTTTTTAACTTCAGGGCTATAGCAGTTCAATGTATTTGTCGGAGGGTGCTTGGCACAGAGTGAATCTTCCGTGAATGCAAGAAATAGTAAGATGAAAACTCCATGGTTTTCATGCATACCTGTGCTTCAATGCCAAAACCTACCTATGGAGGTTTTTCCCTTCAAAGTACGAAGGCCTGGGTTCTACCCCTGGAGATTACCTAGTAATTCTAATGTGAGACCTAAGCATATCCTATATAATAAAATCCTAATATGCAAATCAACCAAACGGTGGAATGACTGGTCACTATGACGGGCACTGACCACCAGGGAGCAGACACTCAACGCAGGAGCTGCCCCTTGGTGGTCAGTGTGCTCCCAGAGGGGGAGCGCCACTCAGCCAGAAGCTGGGCTCATGGCTGGCAAGCGCAGTGGCGGTGGCAGGAGCATCTAAGGCAGCAGTTGGACATCCACCAAGGGGTCCTGGACTGCGAGAGCATGCAGGGTGGACTGAGAGACCCCCTTCCCCCCTAGTGCACAAATGTCGTGCACTGGGCCTCTAGTGTGTTTATAATAACCTGTATGGATGATTCTGATGAACCACTGATTTAAAGCAAAAAACAATACAGATTTTACCGTTGCTCAGTTAACAAGGAGTTAAAGTAAACTCTGGCTTGAATTATTTTGGTTTGGCTCTCTGTTGAGCAGATGAATTGGAATAATTGTTAAATTTGTACTTTGTGTTATGCTGAAATAGATTTAACTAGGAGACTTTTAAAAGCTTTTATTTATATTCATCTACCTGTGAGGTCACAGAATGAGTGTGTTTTCCCACAATTTCCTGTTATTACAATAAAAGAAGAGGCATGTGAGATAAACCTGGGAAATTACAGAGTCATCCAGTGGCATGGATATATTTTAGTGTTTACTATATCTTGTAGCTTTTACTTCTCTTTAATAAACATAGGCTGATAAGCCAATACTACCAAATCAATTTTTTAAAATTATATTTTCCTGTTGAGTTGGTTCATTTCTAACCGTCCTATTTGAAGATAAGTAAGCAGTCTCTTCCATGATAGTGATCAAGGAGTGCCACACAGTTAAAAAAAAAAAAAAAAAGCCCTAAACAGTTTGGCTCAGTGGATAGAGTGTCAGCCTGCAGACTGAAGGGTCCCAGGTTCAATCCGGTCAAGGGCATGTACCTTGGTTACGGGCACATCCCCAGTAGGGGGTGTGCAGGAGGCAGCTGATCTATGTTTCTCCCTCATCGATGTTTCTAACTCTCTATCCCTCTCCCTTCCTCTCTGTAAAAAAATCAATAAAATATATATATTTTTTAAAAAAAGCAATTATCAGAAAAAGACATACCTTGGCCTGATGTGACCACCTACAAGTCACTCACCATGATTGTTTAACAAAAATGACAGCATTTTCTCTGGGAGCAACTTTTAAATATTAAATGAAACCACTACACTCCTTAATATCTTCCCCTGTCATAGAAGTCTGGCAGTCATATGACCGGGCTTGACTTTGAGTGGGTCAGTCTTATAAAATTATAAGAAACATTTAGGATACTGCCATACCACCACAGTTTTTCATGTAGAGTTTTGGAGAACAGGCCATTGATAGATAATACCCTTTCCCTTGGTCTAAGAATGCAAATAAGAACCCACTGAAAAAATACTTACTTTCTGGGAACATTCTACCCTTTGGGGTTTAGAAATGACTCTGTAGTCTAGATATAGTTCAACGTCATGTATGGCAAGCTATTGATAGATCAAGATGTTGATCAAGGAGTTGGTAATCCCAGATTCTAGTTTCCGAGCCTTTATGTTAAAATATATATGAAATAAAATGGTAGTGTCTATTTTTCTTACTTCAAGGGGCCAAAATAAAATTACATACAGTATATGCAACAACTGGGAAAAATCATTGTGGCATAGGAATTGAGAGGAAAGTAATTATTTTTTAATGTACACAACTTTCTAGTAAATTGCCCAAAAGCGTGGCAGGAACCTATTTCCTTTTCTTATTAACTTTTTTTTTTCCTTTTCCAATATGATTCCCCAAAAGTTTCAACTTTTGGGGAAGTTAGGTTGTAAGAGAACAACTCTATGCTAAAACTTCAAAAAAAATGAAGTTGCCTGACATTTGCTGAACTGTCATAGAACATGAAAATCTGTAGAAAAAGTGAAACCTTTCATTTTATTTGTTTATAATTGTAATGTTTTATGTAGGTCTGGGGATTGAGCCCACAATCTGGACCGGGATGTGTCCTTGACTGGAATCGAACCCAGGACCCTTCAGTCCGCAGGCCCATGGTCTGTCCATTGAGCCAAACCGGCTAGGGCTAGGTCTAGTCTTAGACAATTGGTTTCTAAGACGTGGCTCTTTGAAATTTTAGAAGAGAGAGCCCTTTCAGAATGTTTAAATTAAGCAGAGAATTGTTTTCTCACAGCTGGAAGTTGATCAGCTGTTGACTGCACTTTTCTAACCCCTCGGGGGAGAGTTCAAGGACCCTCATTGTGCCATCGGGACAGCCAGCAATGTAGGTGCTCAGAAACAAGTTCCAGTGCCACCCAATTCCAAGGCCACCCCTCCACCTCACAGTAGGACTAGGGAACAGATAACAGAGCTCCTGTGTCACCTGAGTGAGGGAGAGATTCTCTCAGTTGAAGAAAACCAACCTTCATAAGAATGTGCTTCCTACGCATGGTCAGACTACAAGGCTCACGTGATCATCAGGATTCCTTAAAGGACCTCTGATGTCAGTCTCAGGATTTGTTATCTTTTTAGAATTTATTAATATCCCCCCATTGTTCCCCTCCCCCCCGCTTTTTTACATTATATAGGAAATTTCCCTTTCATTTAGGGAGCATTTCTGAGTCTCTTAGTGAATACTAAATAGCTAATTCCTTTTTGAATTTACAGGAAGAAGAACAAGCAAAAAGAATATTTCAGAATAGCTGCCATTGCAGTACTATTTATTGTATCCACTAGAGGACTCCGCTGTGAATGGCTCAAAATATCTCTCCTCCATTCCCTGTGGCCTCTGGCATTTGAAGCTCAACTAACTCTCCGAGTTGGGCCACTGGCTACATATCAGTGTTAGAATGAAAACATTCCCTCTACTTTAACACCTCCTGCTAGTTCAATAAAGCGATGTTTAAATAACTGAACTGGCTTCAGTGATCTGTACTTGCCATTTTTCCCTGCTTCTTAGCTAGATAAAATGGAGATAATTATGAAGTGGATGAGCAGGTTTAATGAAAGCCAGTTTCTTTTGGTATACTCCTGAAGCAGCAATCATCATCTGTTTGGCTTTTGAAGAGCAACAATTATAATCACTTAAACCCCCAAGGGGAACAAAAATAGAATTTACATTAGCATATAAAATATACAGCTGGATTGGGCAAGCCTATAAAATTCTGGGAGAATCATTCTAATCTGAATGCTATTCAAACTCCCAAGTAAAATGAGTTCAAGGGTATTTTACATGCTTCCTTCCGATAAAATAATACATATAACAATGTTGAGAGGATTTTCCTAAAAATGAACACAAGGAAAGAAAAAACTGTTGCCAGGAGAGAATCCCAGCGGGAATGGGCTAAACTGTATTGTCAAGATATCAGAGAGCAAAATGCATAATGCTATTCACATGAAGTATTAATCACTCTGAAGTGAGGGTTTTTCATGCATTTGGGAGTTTAATAAAGAAAATAAGGATGGTTTCAGTCTGATCAATGATGAAACTTAATCATAACTAAGTCAAATTTCAGATTAATAGTACTTTCCTCCTCCATTGTAAATGTGAAAGCAATACAAAGGAAAGTGAAATCATTTAAGTGGATACCCTATTGTTATGAAACAGAACTCTTCTTCCTATTTTAAAACATGTTCATATCATTTCCTCTCAAGTAAACTCTTACACCTCCCATTCGAATTCAAGCCCAGATCACAGGCAATCTCCCTTACCACTTATGTTACTTAATTAGTTTTGCTTTTGTGTGCCTTTCCCGGTTTGCAAGGTGCTTTTTATTTTTTATTTTTTTTTGGTAGAGCATAGAATAAAAATGGAGCCTTTGCTTTATCCATTATGCTACTAGCAACAAAACACTAACATAATCGATACTATTAAAGGCTTTCCCGGCTGTGCACATTTGTCAAAGACAGTGTATCTGAGAAATTACACTAATGAATCTTGAAAAAATGCAGCATCCTACACAGAAAGCTTGGTCTTCCTCATCATAAGTACATATCAATATGTAAAAAAGCAGGGAAGATATATACTTCATCTTTCTGTATAGTATCTGAAGGTCCACTATTACATTTTTTAATGGAAAAAAAAGTCAGTATGCAAAACTTCGCCTCCACTGAGAAGCGCTTTCTGCCTACCCACCCTAAAGCCCACCGCAGGCACATAGGTGACAGCGTCCACTGTGTAAAAGCACTCTGTATGGACATGCCTCTGATAGCAATGATCTCACTGCTTTAGAACCAGTTGCTGAGATGTCTGTCTCTTACAGCCTGTGCATAGCTTGCCAGCAAAGCCAACTTTCCAAAGGGGTATTTCCAGGCTCTTAGTACTGTGCCTAGAGCCTACTAAGCATGCAGTTTGTTGTGTGACATATATCATGAATTTGTATTCCAAGGCACACCAAAATGTTATGTCTATGATAAGAATCAAACTATACTCAATAACAACTCTGCCATGATATCAAATTCCATGGTGATAAATTAAGCACTGAGAAATCAGAAATTCAAGTCTAGATTTCTATAGAATTCTTTACTTTCGTGATCCTGAACAAAGGATAGTGGTAATATTTTAGATTTATTAAATATTTATCATGTGTCTCATGGTTATGGTTACTGGAAACACTCAAAAACTGGGTTCTCAGTTCTTGATGGTTATGATCTCAGGTTTCATTAGCCATATATATATTTTAATTAAAACCATTAACACTGCCTTCTTAGCCTTTGTCAACCTCTGCCAGGTGTGGTTGTATCTAGCTTGTATTATTCTGCCCTTTCTCATAACTCTTCATGCTCTGATGGGCTTTGAAAGCCCATAACATAGAACTCATATAACTTCACTTTAAACACAAAATATAATGTTTTCATGTTTTAAGTAATTTAAAGGGAGATGTATAGCATGAAGGATTCCAGGATCTATGGAGGAAATATCATAAAGTCCTTTTATTCTTTTCTTAATCTAAATGTAGTCTACATTTCCATCCCAATTTTTTAAGAGAAATTATCCTTTTGTATGAAGTTATGGGAAAACAACAGTGGAGAGGTAGAAGAAAATAGATGCCACAGACCTACCCTAAAATACTCTTAGATTTTTAGTTAATAATAAGTATAGTTAATATTCTTATCATTAGGTAAATTTCTTTTATATGGCATTATTTATCCCATAAGTTTAAGATGAAAAAAACTGCTGTAATAAATTTTCTTTTTTGCTTCATACTAATATAACCATAACTTTTTGTATATGTATATTTGCATATATGTATTATTTATATATACAGACATGCACACTTTGATGACTTTGAAGGCAGAGAAAATAGTCTAGATGTAGTCTTAGGTTTTTAGTACATAATAATACAATACAAATGCCTAAATCATGGATAAAGTAGAAAATTAAATAAACATTTAATTAACTATGATAAAACTGAGCCCGAGTTTTATTTAAAATGAGGGAAGTAACTAGGATTAGGTTCTGGGGGTTAAAAATCCAAGAGTCTTTCAAGGCATGGCCTCCAAGGTCAACGTGGAGGATGTGACTGACTGCTATAATATTGTGGGGTTGAAATGCTCAAGCCTCACACTTCTTCCCTTTATAACATGGTTCTCACAGGTCCAAATTATCAGACTTTTAAAAAAGCTGTCGGCACTCTCATAGTGATGGGGTTTAAACATGATAGATCTGGATGATTTCACTTTATAAAAACCTGAAACTTACAAAATGGATTAATCAATTTTTTAAAGTTCTTCACTTAACCAGAGCATTGATTCAAATGTTCTTTTATTGTGTGAGCTCTCTGCATTTAAAAAAAAAAAGTAACCCAATTAAAAAAAATGTTTACACCAAACAACTCAGAAGCCCATGTATTGCATGAAGTGCAGATAGCAGGCAGAGGTATCCTGAGTGTTCTGTTTCTTAGCTGAAAGTGAAAAGTTGAGCAGTTTTCTGTTGAATGGAAATGATGCCTTGAAGCAGTGTTTTTTTTATTGATAATTAGGGGGACTTGATGAAATCTTAACATCTCCACTTTTGCAGATCCAAGTTAACAAACAAACCCAAGCAGATGCAATATCTATGTCCCAACTTCTCAGGTTTAAAGATTTTATACATAAAAAAGAGCAAAATTAGAGCTTTTCTATGGCAAATAATGTTTTCTTTTTCCTTTGTTTCCAGTATTTGAGAGTCTATCAGCTTTATTATTTTAAAAGGAATCATATAATGGGGCCCCATTTGAAACTTTTTTATTTTCTCTATTGCCTTCTATCTTTATGTCTCTTTAGTTCACTAAATGAGGGCAGTTTTAAAAATGGAGGGCCCCAAGTCACTGAATAATTAGGGTAGAAGTTAACTGATTGCAAGTATATCAAGATAAACCCTAACTTAGAAAATAAATATATGGCCCCCCCAAAATCAAATGATTTGCTATCTATAAAAACATATAACACTTCATTACTTTAGCAAGTGTTATTATAAGTGAATTTTAAAAGTATTTAAAATAAAAATTAAATTCTATTTGATAAAATGAAAAAAAAACACACACACAAAAACCCAGTTAGGTTTTCCTTTTATTAAGTAGCATTGTTTGTGTTTATTTGGAAATACTACTGTCATTATAATTGAGTTAGTCTTCCTCTATTTTGTTATTTTGGAGGAGGGATAGGATGGAGAAGGCAATAAATTCTTCATAACTATTGCTCCCAAAGGGAAACAACCAGCCAAACTTGCCTAAAGTATCTAAACCCAATTCGGGGATATAGTTAGGAATACTTCTGTAAGATTTTTCTTCAAAATGTTTTATTGAGGAAAGTGCCTAGATTAAGAGTCATCATTCTTATCTTTAGAATTTGTGGAGATCATGTGGGTTTTATGTGGAGGGTCTCCTTAAATTTAGTAAATTATCTCATATTTCCTATTGGCTGATTCTCATTTTGTTTGATTTTTAGACCCTAGTTTAGAGATAGATTTTGATTCAAATCATCACTGCATGGTTTATTTTCTTTCTAGGTATCAGAAAACCTACCACCTCAGTGTTGTGAATATTAATTAGGGAAACATATGTAAAGCACTTGCATATATGACTGGGTTCATGGCTGGATCATACCAGGTAGATAACTCATGTTAACTATTAAAGTTAACTTCTTAGCTGTTTTAGGTTGTATATTTGATATGATACAGGGTAAGTTTAATACTAATTAGAAATAACAAATGAAGGTTACTTTTGATTTTTTAAAGTACAGTATCACTTCAACCATTCCTGTTTTACTTTTTTGCTTCAAGCTCATTACATGCTCTAGACATGGTACAAGGGGTAAAACCTGCAATGTAGGTGGTAAAACCTACATTAGGGGATCCTGACTACCACCCACCCCACCCCCTAGAACTCATCCATTTTCCTCCTTTATGTAACTATCTATTCACTTAAAGTGAGTCAGTATTATGGGAAGAAATGACTATTTCTAGAAGAGTATTGCTTAGTTGAAAAGACTTAGAAATTTTGTTCATGTAAACATTATAAACTTTCTGTTGTAAAATTTATTCTAACGGACTGAGGTTTTGGGAAAATATCAGAACATGACCACTGTATTTCTAATGTGACAACAGCATATAATTAGAACACTGAAGAAAGGAATGGATTATTACATTCTGATATAAAGAAATTTCAGTCTAAGTGCTTTTATAGGAAATGAAATATATACACTATTATTGTCATTTAGAAGACAACTTTCAATTATCCAACTTATT